ATAAAAGCGCCCAAAAATTGTTTGTAAGTAACCTTATATTCGGAACAAAGAGAGACAAATACAAACGATGTGTAACAGCATTCCTGCACTAATAGACGAGAAAAAAAAACAAAAAAAACAAGTGAGCAAAAAAAAGAGACACGCGGCCGGTCTGGTGGAACGGTCTGACAAAAGGCGGCCGTTTAAATATAACCATGCTGGCGTCTCCCGCATAAAGCGCAAATAAACTCGCTAGGCATCGTCTAGATTCCGATGCAATGCTTCCGTTTTCCGCCGTTTGAAGCGAGCCGAGTCAATGTGGCCGCCGGCGTTACGTGTATTGCTAATCGCATTGCTATGCAATCGCTGAGCACGCCACTTTCCAGGATGTGTGCTAATTCTGAAAGGAGGTGTTCCTGCTCTGCGTGTGTGTGCCGATTAAAATATATGTACTAATGACCTGAAGTCACACAATGTATCTCTGGCTTGGCCAAAAATATACACTTAGCATTTTAAAGGGACGGCAAACCTTTCTGTTTTTATTGGCAGGTGCAGACTCTTTGTTCTAGAAAAAAATAATTAGGCACCGTCAAAATTAAAGCACACACTTTCCTTGCAGTTTGTGGTCTCGCACTTCAAGGACCGATTTACCTTTTTTAATAACCGGCCATTCCCCAGGCATGGCTTGATTGGCTGCAGGGCACCGCAGGCGTAATCCACTTTCCAAGTCTACTTTCCGAACGGCCGCAGATACACTTACAACAACGCGCAGAAACACGTGCGTAAATGGAGACACATATACAATCACAAGCACGCACACACACGGAAGCGCGCATAATCAAAACGTAAACATTCGACAGATTTCTGTGTAGGTGAAAATGAACTCTTGAATTTCTATGAGAAAACCCGTCATATCGGGCTAGTATTTTTTAGGGGGGAAGGGGGGGGGGGTTCAGCCATGTGTTTACGCGTACGTTTTTGTGTGTCTGTGTATAAACACATGCAAATTGAAAACCGTTGGGGAGGAAGAGGAGGTCTGAATGCTCTGGTTCCTTCGGCCTTCGGGGTTGATCGGGGGGCACGAGAAAACAAAGCAGTGCTTATACGTAGAGCCCTCTGTTCTCCAGACCATAGAATCGCGTCTGTGATCAATGATGTGCTGAAGCCCGTTAAAGTAGACGTTTGGCAGCGAAATTGTAGACCGGGCGACGCTACTGGCTTTCGCCTGGATGTGACAAGAGTGGCGCTATATATAGAGGGCTGTATAGATACTGCTCTCTGGTGCTTAGTTCCAGGTACAGCTTCTTCTCTAGGGTGATTAAGCAGTGGAATTTCTTTCCAGATACGGTAGCGAAAACTGATTGATATGTGGGGTTTAACGGCCCCAAATCACCACATAAATACGAGAGACGCTGTGGTGGAGGGCTCTGGAAAGCGGTTTGGAAAATTAAATCACCGACTTTTCAGAAGCAATAAATTCTTTAGCGTACTATGATGCCATGCACTAAGATTGTTACGCCATACGTAAATTGTGGTTTTCATAGAGCTTGTGATATTTATTATGTGTTTCATGATGTTCAATAACTTTATATGTGTTTCAGCTGTGGTGCTTTCTTCCCTTATGTTTTACTGCCAAACTTGCCTGCTTAGATTGCATGCCTTGGAACTGTGACAGATTATTTATAAGAATTGCAATACGTGCTCTGAAGCAATATTTTTCCAGCAGGCAAGGTTCTTTTTCTTGTGTTGCTCTTACGCACATTTTCAATTTAATATGACTTCATTCTACTCTTGTGATAACCTGGAAAAAAGGGCTAACGGTATGAATGAATGAAATGAAATAATGTCCCGTAGTCACGCGTTATGAAGGGCGCGAGTGACAACCTAGGCGCCGGGTTTTTTTTTTTTTTGGTCTCGTGAAAGTTTTTACGTTTACTCATCACTCCAGTGGGTGTGCCTGTTCTATCAATAGAACCACAGACACACAAAAAAGCGTATAAAAGCACAAAAGAACAGTCTACATTTCAGCAATGTGAAATGCTGCACTGGCTGTCCACCCGTGCCGTATTGCTGCTCGTACTCCTTCGTTGCAGCGTATGTAATATCCTGTATTCCCAATGTGAAGGGTACAGCTGCCATCAATGAAAAGTGTGGCCGTGGAATTTACTTGAAGTCAGTGGCTTTGTTACATCCTTGTTATTGATGGCTGCAAGTTTCTCAGTGAACATCGACCAGAATTTATCTTACCCAAAGAGAACCACCGCATTAAGAAAACACTCTCCGGCAAACGTCGGCATATTCACTCACAACTTGAGTCACTAAAACTCACAATGGACATTAAGTCGAGCATGACTGAGTCCAGCTGGACTCACAAATATTACTGCCCTAGAGCAGTAATATTTTGGTGAGTATGCGTCCAATTGAGTTGGGTTGAGACAAATTTTAGTGAGTGTAAGTCGGAGTAAGTCTGGTTGGAGAAAATATCGGTCAGTCAGAGACGAATAAGCGCTAAGCAAAAAATATATATTTTTAGTGAGTCTGAGTAAGCTCAAAAACCTTTATTTTTGCTGACCTAAGCTGGCCAGGGCTGTTAAATCTTATGGCATTTCGCAGGAAAATTTTGGGGGCCCTAGAAACCGCCTTAAGGAAATCATGGCAGAATTAGTTGAATATGTCTGTTACAGGGCGCATGTACTAACTCCGGTTAGCACACTTGCTCATACTGCGTGGAAGACTTGCCTTGAGCCGCTGTTCGTTTACGCGAGCAGCTCTGATGTTTCGCTGGGGCCCTTTCACTGGCGTTGATCGACCTTGTGTGTACTTGAAGGTCTGATTCACTTGCCGTAAAAACGTAAATACGCTCAGGCTCATGGCCTAAATATTTTCCCAGGACTAAACTACCACCATCCCGATGAGCTTTTGAATGTTTCCGAACTGCAGAGGCACGCACTCTCCCACATCACCTTTGTTCCCAACATGAGCCTTAACCACTGTTACTCATCTACTGTCAAGGCAAAGAGACCACGAACAGTCACAAATTACTAATACGTGGCGTAAAACTGCATGCTGAGAAGAGAGGATGTTGCGGTAACAGATATTGCAATACCTAATTGAGCTTTACGTGCCATAACCACAGTATATATGATTGTGGGGGAAGCCGCGGTGGAGGGCTCCGGAAAACATCTGCTGTCGCCGATACTATTCATCGCAGGATGCGCCAGAAATTCCGCTATTCACGATGCTAAAGCTAGTTTATAGCGGGGATTGTAATCTCCGACTACGGAAATAGTGATCGAGGGCGCTTGTTAGAAAAGCCAATTTGACAGTCACATACATTGCTCATACGTGCGAATAATCCAAGCAAGTTTTCCCGAAGTGATATGGAACGCACTCCCCATAAGCCGAATATTTTACTGTGTAACTGAAATGGGATCACATCAGCGATAGAACAAGGCCTATAGAACATAGACTTATACAGTACGCCACTGAGCTAATCAGTGCCAGAAAAAACACTCACTTGCATATAGCCACAAAGCCTCGCCAACATAGGGTACACACCATGTGATACATTCCTGCAGGGAGGTCAACCAGACGCACGTCTCGTATAGCAAACCGGACGTGCGCCTGATTTACCTCCCTGCCTTTCATTTCTTCCCTTCCTCCTTGACGTGCGTTCAGTAGGTTTCAGAGCAGAGGACACTCATGTGTTGATCATGTCCAACATGCTCAATAGGCCGGTAAATTTTCTCAGTGATCAATCCTAAATACTTGTGCTTATGCACCCCGAAGTCTGAAGCTGTGCATAGTTTACCTGCATTGGGGCGATGATTACTGGAAAACATTCAAGCTCATTGTGCTGTAGCGCGCTGATCTATCCCTCACTATCCCCGTCTCCGACTTCTCCTTTTCCCCAGGGGAGCCTCTCCTTCTTTCTTTTCATTAAGCCTTTCCATTGTCATGGTCAATGTAGAGGATTGCTGTTCAGTTGTTGTGTACTTTCATGTTACCAGCGCATAACGCAACACAGTGTTCTCGCTCCTTTCTCACCTCTGTAGATCCAGTGTCGCATGAGAGGCTGCGTGAGGTTACCGAAGGCACGTATCGAAAATCGTGATTCTGAAATTTCGAAACGAGACATGGCTGTATGACTTGTTTACTTATTATCAAAAGCTGTGCTACCATTTCAAGCCAGTTCAGTCTCCGTTTGCCATATATGGAGTGTTTCCAGAAATAATCAACAAAATGAAAGAAAAACCTACAACTTTGTGCATGAAAGCCCAAGCAAGGAGCCCAAGCAAAGAGCCCAAGCAAAAAGCTCAAGCGAAAATCCCAGGCAAGGAGATTCTTGCTTCTGTATAAATGGTGGTTCATTTTCTCTTGCAACTTTCGTCCATAGGACTTGTAGATTTCTACATAATGGTTTAACTACAATGACGTTGTAATCCGAGAAAGAAATTGATTGAACCCTTCTCGAGCGAGTGTCGTAATCTAAGCTTTTTGCCAAAACGGTACCACTATTTTTTACGCTTACAATGACAGCCACACGTGACCGTTAGTTTCGAGTTAAATTCATGAGGCTGTGGCTGGTTCCTCGCTTGCGGGAACGTCGTTCCAACGAGGTTACCGGAGTTAAATGACAACAAACAACGTCAGATCGCCGGGGCCGCATTCGCACGTTATTCGCGCTAAATACTTTCGTGGCGTTTACTGCTTTTTATTTCTGCGGAAGAAAAAAAAAAACAAAGAACGAAGGAGTTGTATGATGTGGGGAGGGTGAACCATTGCGCCTCAAGCAGCGGCCATCCAGGAAGCGAGAGATCTGGGCAGCGGCGGCAGCAGAAAGCGGCCGGACTCGGGATACACCCTCCTCCAACATGCTTTCGAGCCTCCGCTTGCTGCATGAGAGCTGCTCTTGACCGCTTTGATTCAGGTAAGGCATCCGCGCGGGCGCTGTCCCCCTCGCGCGTGCCGACGTTCCGTGCTAACGCCGGCGGTGGCAGCAGCGTTGTCTCAGCCTACACCGCACTTTCTCAGCTTCACTCGCACAAGCGACAGTGCCGTAGTAGCCTGTCTGTACGCTTTGCTTTGTTTTCCTTTGTCCTCGGTTTTCCCTTTCTAGGCAGCACTTCCCTTTCCTTCCTGCTGGCTACAGCGGTGGCCGGAACTGTGGTGTATGTAGACCGGCGCACCGAGGAAGCCTAAAGGGGGGCAACCACGTTCAGGTCTAAACGTTACCCCCTCCTCCCTGACACCCCCACCACACGCACGCCCTCGTCTCCCCCATACCTCTGTAGGCGAGGAGACGCTCGCTGCTTGAGGCACCGTTCGTGGTCAGTGCAGCGCGGGCGCCCGAAACTGGTGCGTCTCGGAAGGTCTCCTGGTGAAGTCGTAGACGACGTGTCTGTGGTACAGTCGTGCCTGTTGTACAGTGGTGGGTGTCGTCGTCATCCTCGTCACAGGTCGCCAGCGGCCGGACCCCCGAGGAGCGTGTGCAACCAGCCGTGTGAGTCGACGGCGCGGGGTGCCCCGCACGCCCGCATTTTGTCGCGCTTGAGACCTCTCGGAGGAAAAGTATCGAGGACTTTTTTTTTCGGTGCGTGGGTATCTGTACTCTTCGAGAAAACACTCCCGCCCCTTCCAACGCCGTCGCGGTGCGTTGAAAAGCGCCGACGCCGGCCGGATCATCGGCTCATCGAACGAGAAGCTCAGCCGATGAAGATGGCATCGATCCCGGTATTCCTGGTAAGTACGGCGCCGGCAGCGTACGTGCGTGGTATACCGCCGAATGGGGGACTGGAAAGTGCCGATGGATCATTGACGCTACTAACCATTGACTCCTTTCTCGTATCTTTCTTTGCTCTTCATCTTCTTATTCATTTCTAACACGATAATTTGTCCACTTTTTGTGATTTAGTGCAAGGGTAACAACGACAATGGCATTAAGGCGTAAACTTACGGAGCTCGCTGCCTACCATGCATGAACCCGGAAAAAGGTCAGCAAGACCAGTTTACCCTGGGAAACTGATAGATGTTTTAGTGGTACCACGTCGCCTGCTTTTAGAGAGAGACGTGAATGTTAAGTGAGTGACAGGGAGGTTAACTTGAAGAAAATTCTGCAAAAAACTTTGCAAAGCGGGAGGATAAGGTTGAATAAAGATGTAAGAAAGGAGAGAAAGGGATAAAATATATAAAAACTGTCTAAGGAGAGAAAGAGAACACACACACACACACACACACGCTGAAGCACACGTTTGTCGAAGTCATTTAGCGATGTAACTTAGAAGTGTGGCAGCTTGGGCTAGTTGGTATGGCATGATGATAGTTATAGCGCGAGAACAAAACGACGACACAGCCTTCTTGTCTCTGTGTCGTCGTTTTGTTCTCGCGCTATAACTATCATCATTTAGCGAGTTTGGTTGATCACAGAATCTTCAGCAGCGCCCGCCTTCTGCACGGCAGCTCGAATGATCTGGCACTCCAAAGTTGATTGTTCGGAAAGCTGCTGGTCATCAAGGTGTGCTAAGGTTGCTGAGAGTTGTCCCTGGGAGCACTAGTGCGGGTAATGACGCAAGACATGCGCAGTGGTTTTCACGCTGCCACAGTGATCACAAGCAGCACTGCAATGTAACTTGCTCACTTCATGCATGAGAGCGCCATTGTGTACCGGTGGCACGTTTCGAATAAGCAAAGCAGTTCTGCTACCCTACAAGTTGGGTAAGCTTGCGCCTGATTGATAAGGCTTACATTTCGGCACATTCGTAAACTTCAGAGCGGACGCCTTCATTCAGCCTTCATTCAGCCTTCATTCAGTCTTCATTCAGGACGCCTTCATTCAGTGGAGGACTCCGGAAATCTCGATCACCTGGGGTTCTTTAACTTGCACCCAAATCTGAGCACAAGGGCCTACAGCATTTTTGCCTCCATCGAAAATGCAGTCGCCGCAGCCAGGATTTGATCCCGTGGCGGGACAGCATCCGAGTACCTTAGTGACTAGACCACCGTGACGGGGCATTTTTGTGATCACATAATACTTCTCAAGATGTTATACGTGTATCAGAGTGGATCACATAGGTTGAAGGAAAAAAAAAGGAGCAGTAGTAAAAGTACTATGAGGATGTCTGTGATTCCATCTGCAAGTGGTTTGGATTGTGAATCTTGAAAACATGATTACGCAGAATCTAATATTGCGTGATCCTTAGAAAGCCAAAATGCTCACCTGCGCCAATGACGTGTGCGGTATCATCATAGGTAATGCGTCAAAATTACGGGAGACTTGCCTAGCTTGTTTCGCCCCTATAGGTATGCTTATTTGAAAGTAATTTTTGGGCTCTTTATTTGATTACGCTGCATAAGTTACGCTCAATGTTGAAGTTGTGACTGCATGATGTATTGGTGGGACAAGTTTTCACAGTTAAGAACAGCTTTTGTATTGTTTTATTACTGGGGACGAAATGGTTCACACTATTCGTTATTGAGATCGTTATCAATTATGAATATGAGTCGAGGTATACGTAATGGTCGTTATGTAAGGGTCCCGATTCTATAGAAGGCAACGCCTAGTCTCGGCCACGTCAGTTGCACCGCATATCAGGGACACATTCGGAGCATGCACCACCTAATCACCGTTCCCCGCGCATGTAGGATTGGCTTGCGTCCCATCAGATGCAGTCTGCGCCGCTGCGCAAGCTGTAGGCGCCAGTTATTAATGCGGTGGGAATCAACTACGGTTCTTTGCTGCCCTACGCATGGGTATACATGTCAGCTGAGCCCTCAATATGTCTACCCATTCTCCGGGCTCATGTAAGTCTCACTTTATCAGTGCGCCCAAAATACTATGTCACGGTTTCACTCCCCAAAACCGCATCACGACTTTGAGAGACTACGTGGTCAAGAGATCCGAAAATTCTGGCTATTTGGCGTTCTGTAACGCGCAAGTCAATTGAAGCCTATGGGCCGATGGCATTTTATTTCCATCAAAATGGGGCTGCCGCAATCGGGGTGTTGATGCCACGACCTTAGAACCAGCTGTCAACTTCAACAACCACTGGTTTACCACGGCTATTATTTAGAGCGCTTAGCAGAGTGCCAGTTTGAACAGGCCACTGTTCGAGAATGCAGGACTACATACTGATTTAATTCAAGTCATTTTCGAGTTCACGTCATGTCAATCATGCAAGACACGCTCCAGTTATCTGCACACTGAAGATCAACTAGGACGACGGCGGTGCATAACAAGTAATCTCCAAAATCAAGCGAAATGGAGAAGAAATCACTTTATTGCTCATCAGGTTTCAAATCTGAAAGGGCCAAGGGTGCTTACTAGCAGAGGATTTCTTACGAGCGTTATTTCGTTAAGATAGTGTCAGTAGACGGGTTCTTTTACATTCCTGCAGCATTTATTATGAGTACTTTGAGTAATCAATTGTATGTAGGCAATCCATTAAAATTAACTTGTCAAAACTTAATGACAATTGTTCCGCACGTTCTTTATAAGACCGCTAGCAACCTAATCTTGATCGATCTGAGTCTAATGACATTTTTTTTTTCTTTCTGAAATGTCGAGCATCCGCTATTGCGCAGGATCATGAAGTTGTAATTTGGAATTTCGCTAAGCTACGAAATTTCACCTCTGATTACCGTAGATGCTCGCGCTTTGGTGGACCCTGTGGTGTACTGTGGTATAATTGTAATCTAGCAATATTTTACTACTTTTCAGCACCAATTTACTTACCCTCTACATTTAGCCTTGCGAGACCAAACACCCCGGAAAAACTAATTACGCCTTCCATTATCTCATCTGTACTGACTTGAACGGCAGCTTCGTTTTCCGCATTCCTAGCGAACCTTTTTTTTTTACTGGGCTTGCACTACAGGGAAGCTAAAACCAAAAGTGAAAATGTGGGCAAAAGTGAGCGAAAAAAGAGGGGGTGCCTTATCACGGAGATCAAGTTGATTACAGGCATCTTTCGAATGGCTTCGTTAACGACGCGACTACACGACAGCAACCGGAAGCCTTTCGCAAGTAAAGAAAGGAACCCAGCCGCTGAAGTACGGCCGCCGTAGTCCTACTGCTTCGCGCTCCTATAGTGCGGCGATTATCTCGGTTCTGTCGCGCCTGTGGAAACGGGCTCACTTGGCTTGCTATGCTTGCCCTGCGGCTTCAAGTGGCCACTCGATGCGCGCGGCCAAACGCGACACGCTTCTTTTTTCGCCCCTCTACGACGACAGACCACATCCCCTCTCAATACGAATCGGATAGACAGTGCGCTACTTCCGGTCTCTTCCTTACTTCCGCACTGTTTCCACTCTTTCTCCGACTTCCCCGCGTCTCACGGGGAGACACACCCCGGAGGGAAGAGACAAGTGCCGACCCGGTTCCGTTTCTTCGCGCTCATATCTCCAGTGTGTGCGTGGACGTGAAGAAGGGTTGATATCTCGCAGACTGTTCAATTTGATAAGGGAGCCGATTACTCAGCCTAGCCCTGCGTGCAGTACTGCCCCGCACAGCAGACCCGCTGTGTCCAATGTGGGATAAAGAAGATAATTCATCTCGCGTTATCTGAGGCGCCAACGTGAGTGGTGGGTGACGATACCTGGTACTCTCTGTATTACGACGATACGATTCAACGTTCAGAAGAGGAATTCAGACTCGTGCTGGAATGCCTTGAAGATGCGTCGCTTGCTGATAAGGCGTCGTAAATGTTAGGTCGAACACCGTTAAGAAAAAAAAAAAAGCACGAGTTTGGTGTTAGAGAACGTTAGCTTTGCAACAGGCCCTGCATCAGAGGTCGATCACCATTCCGTTTAAGCTTAGGATATCAGCGATCGGTTCTAAACAACGTGATAAACAAGATAGGACATTAAGTAAGCAATGACGTTAAGCAGCCAAAATTAGAAGAAACACAAACGTAAAAAGGCCACTAGTGCAACGATTCAACCTGGGAACTGGTGTGTTTTAGTTGCTTGCGTTTGGCCGGACCATGAGAACTGATCGATAACACTGCAGGGAAGGCCAGGCTACAAGAAGTCGTAGGGGAAGAATCGTCGATCTGTGTTTTTATCAATGACTATTGATAAATGTACTGTAAATATGAGTAGGCGTTATTTGGCGGTTGCACAAAGCTGACGTGGCACGACGTATGCTCAGCCTGAGTTGTATGATATTTTCTTCCATAGATAAACTAATTGCTTAACTGCACCACCATGACATCAGGCAGAGTAAGCGGGAAACATTTTTGCCTGCGTAAGATGCTTGATCCCGAGGACAATGTTGCTTTCTTGTTTAATATTTTGAAAGTGTTAGAGATAGTCGAATAGTTTCCGGTCCTGAGTTCGGACCTCCATTCAAAGGAGGACAGGGTTTCTTTGAACGCTGTTTAGCTTTACCTTTTGCAATACAATAATTTTTTCCCTTTATTTCTCAACTGCGCCCCCATTTTTACACCTCCAACAGTAACCGACTTAAAACAGTAATTGCGTCACAGTAAGAGCGCTGGATGGCAGAAAATTTCCGGTGGGACTGTGTAATTGCGTTCGGCCGCATCAGATTATACGACTGTGTGCACGCATGCGTGAATTCTCTCCCACTCGTGCCTGCTCTCTTTTCTATTTCTCATTTTAATGCATTTTTTATGTTGTTGTCTGTATGAGACAGCCAAATGAACGCACTTCTGTTTAGCTTCCCCATAGTTTATTCTCTATTAGTCTTTTTCTACGCACACTCGAAATTCTCCTCTTTAGTT